CTCCCAGAGTGGCGTTTCCCACCTGGAGGCTGCGGGCGGTCAGGGCGTCGTATCTGCAGAATAAGGCTCCGCCCCCCCGGCACACCTCCCCCACCTCCCCCACCAACGGGTCCCCGGGGGGTCCGGGGGGGGAAAAGGCGGGAAGGAAGGCGGGGTCGTGGCTCGGGGGGAAATAGTAGGAATCCAGGAGGTGTTTGGTGTCATAGGTGAAAAGGGAGGACGCCTTTGAGATGTTCCCTGTAGATAAAAAAAACACCTTATGATGGTCTGGGGCCATTTTTTAATGTCCCATAAGTCAGTGTTTTTCAACCACTGTGCCTCGGTACACTAGTGTGCCACGAGTGATGGTCAGGTGTGCAGTAGAAAATCATCCTATTTCGCCTAATTGGTCTAAAAAGATTTTTTGATAAGGAATTAATTTTCTGCAAATAATATGCCATTTTTGAGTGTCTGTGCTGTTCTAGTGACTGGTGGAGTCATCATGTAATAATTCCTTATGACTAGATTTTGTATGTAAATTTGTATATTGAAGTGGACATGTTAAGAGCAATTTGAAAGAAGAAATATAAAATATGATAAAAATACATTTTTGTGTTTATTTGATTCCTATTCAAGACACTTAAGATAAGAATAAAATAAGAATAACTACAGTGTTACTATAGGCGGCTACAGATTTGTTGGACATTTTTGTTTTTTTCTCTACGTAAAAATGTACTTTGGCTCAAAAAAGGTTGAAAAACACTGCCATAAGTCAAAGTCAAACGTCCTGATATACATAGTTTTTTTAAAGTTTTTGTAATTTCATTTTATTTTATTTTTTTTTACTAGGGTTAGGGTTAGTTTTCTTTCTGTTCAAATGTGACAAATAATCCTCCAAAATGGCCGTCCACACTCACATCCATTGTTGGTGTGCCTCGTGATTTTTTCTACGAAAATATGTACCTTGGCTCAAAAAAGGTTAAAAAAAACACTGCCATAAGTCAAAGTCAAACGTCCTGATATATATATTTTTTATATATTTTTTTTATATTTTTTTTAAATTTCATAATTTTTTTTTTTACTAGGGTTAGGGTTAGGGTTTTCTTTCTGTTCACATGTGACAAATAATCCTCCAAAATGGCCGTCAAAACACTCACATCCAGCTCCAAATGCAAACACCTCCTCCCCCGTGGGGTTCACTGAGGGGACCGACCCCCCGCTTTGGGTCAGCAGATCGTCCGAGGGGTCAGAGTTCATGAGGCCGAGGAGGCCCCGGGTGTGGTTGGAGAAGTCTGCGGGCAGCAGGACGGTGACCGCCACGCGCCCCCCCGCGTGGGCCCGGACCTCCACGCCGACCCCGGAGGAAAACATGACCGTCACGCTCTGAGGGCCGCGGGAAAAGAGGAAAGCACCTGTGGGGAAAAAACAGGTGGTGCTTCAGTGCGTAGGCCAGGGGGCGGGAACCTATGGCCAGGTGTGGCTCTTTTGATGATTGCATCTGGCTCGCAGATAAAACTAAATATTCTCACATGTATACAAATTGGGGATGGGACGGTTTTTTTTTTTTTTTTTCTTTTTTTTTCCCTTGTCGTGTTTGGCATTATAGCAACAGAATTGTAATCTGAGTGCCGTGCTGTGCCCGACACTTTTGCTTTGCCAAGGGAGGCCTGTCAGGGTGAGAACCCTCCCTTGATCATCCCATACTGCTTTATTATACATTTAGGATTTATTTTTGTTACATAAGTAATATGGCTAATGCCAACCATGACCGGGGGACAGGAAAGGGGAAAAAAGATTCCTAAAACAGGAAGAGAGGAGAGAAAAAAAAAAAAAAAGGAAAGAGAGACAACAAAACCATCCATCCATCTGCTGCATCTGTAGAAAAATGTCCTGTAGTCACCGTGGGCAAACTCGAGGGAGAACCTGCAAACAAACACTATGGGGAGACACACAAACTAACAAACACTAACAGCAAAATAATACTGCAGACAAACCCGGGGGAGAACCTGTAAAAGCACCTGCAAGCAGACACAAGAAAGAGACACACACAAACAGGCAGCAAAAACTGAACGCCAAGGGATGGGACGGTTTCTGAAAACCGTCCGAACCGTTGGGTTGGACTGTCTCGGTTCGGTTCGCGTGTGTTGCGTTCGGTTCATGCTGCTCCTTTTTCTCAGAGGGAAGCGTTTACACTCCAGAGCAGAAGGGGGCGCTACTGCGCCCAAAGCCAACCACCAGTAGGAAACAAGAAGAAGAAGAAGCAGCGTAGCCGATAATAATCAGACCGCCAACAGCAGTTTCTAGGTCTGCTGTATGGACCACTTTGCATTTAGAGGGAAGCACATGTTGGAATTAGCACCGTTTCCTCTCTGGCAATGCCAGAATCTCACCTACTTTTAACCTAACACTGTCACAGTAATGTATCAAATGTCAGACTGTTTTTTTCTTTCAGTTTAACCTGACTATACAAGAGATAATAGATTTTCCTAACCATCAACATATACCGAACCGAACCCAAAACCGTGACCACGAAACCGTGAATCGAACCGAACCGTGGATTTTGTGAACCGTCCCGCCCCTAATACAAATACAAGCTACAAATATCCATCCGTTGATTTATCACTGCTCATGTCCTGTTCAGGGCTGCAGGAGCACTTGTCCATTATTTTAATTGGACGATACTGGACTACGTCGGCCGTAGCAGCGTAAAACAGGTAAACGAAACAGGTAAACGCCCCCTTTTGAATCAGTCTGCTCGGTCATTAGCTCAAAGCTAACCCTTCGACGAAGAAGATGGCGAAAAGAAAAAAAGATGACGAGTATCGTACATTTCAGGACGACTGGACTGAAGAATTCGCCTTTGTGGAGAGAGCAAATTCTGCGGTGTGCAAATCCATGCAGCACCAGAAGTCGCATTAATGTCGCTTTAATGTCCCATTAATGTCGCATTAATGGTGAGTATTATAACAACATTATTCAAAAGAATACATTTAAAGGCTTATTATACTGACATTTTGTTGAATTCACTTTTAAAATATGTTATATGGCTCTCACTGAAATAAATTTCCAAATTTTTTGCTTTCATGGCTCTCTTAGTCAAAAAGGTTCCCGACCCCTGGCGTAGGCCAACCAAAACCTTTCCCTTTTCGGGTCGCTGCTCTCTGCTCCGTTTTAATAAACCGGGCCTCCTTTTTACCGCCTGCTTTCAGGAAAATCCTGCTTGCTGCAATATCAGCAGCACGTGAAGCTCTTAAAACTTTTAACCTGACGAGAAATACATTTAGTTTAAAAAAGATAAACATGTCAAACAAAGTTGTGGATCAAACCAGAGCAAACCTAAACAGATTCAATTTCCCCCGATCGTACTTTTTCTTTTTCTGTCAGATCAGACATCAGTACTAGGCTATTCAACAGTAGGCTATCTCATTTATCAGTCCAAACATAACAAATAAAAAAACCCATATACAACTGACGGCGTATATGCTTTAGCGAATGCCTGGAGACCATGGAAAATTGTACGAAAACCTTTAAATTTTTCATCCTAACTGCAAGAACAACTGGTCTCTACGTTTATTCAGAGTGGATTATTTCCTCTGATGAGACTCGACAAGTTAAAACTCACAGTGGATAAAAACGTTTTACATATCGATAGATAAGATACACATCTGTTTGGCATTTCGTGCCACAATTAGTGGATTTAGGTATCACTTACTGTTTAAAGGCCATTTAAAAAGTGCGGTAAAAAACGGGACTGCTGCTTCAAATTAGGGCTGACTACAGGAAATCCAGCCCAACAGCAACAAACAGGTTTTCTGAAACGGATTTGACACTAAATCAAGCAATCTGGCACCTTCCCACACAGTTGTGCACAGGTGGGTTTTTAAAAAAATATATTACTACTCTTTAAATACTCTTAAAAGTACATCTTTCTCCTACAAGAAATAACATCTCATAAACTGGGCCCTTGGAAGAGGAGTTATTTAGCTTTGTTTTAGGTTAATTTTCCTGTGTTTGAAACAAAAAAGGCCAGAACTGACCTCTTCTGTCCCTGATGAGACGTCCTGCAGTAAAAACGAAAGCCAAAGAACATCTTTCTACAGATACAGCAGCTGAATTTTCTTTTCTTTTTTTTCTTCTCTTCCTGTTTTAGGGATCTCTATTCTTTTCGGCTCTTTCTCGATTCTTTCATACTTTTTAATTTCATCTTTTGTTCCTTTTTTTCTCTTTTCCTATCCCTCCGGTCAGGTTTGGCATTAACCCTCTTACTTCTGTAACAAAAATAAATCTTAAATAAATAATAAAGCAGTATTGGATGATCATGGGATGCTTCTCACCTTGACAGGCCTCCCTTTGCAAAGCAAAAGTGTCGGGCAGAGCACGAAACTCAGATAAAATTGACAAGAGGTTAAAGAAAAACAAAAAAAAACGAAAGCAGAAGCCCATTACCCTGCAGATCCATCCACCTTTGCTCGGCAAGAGGAAGAACCTTTTGGTTTTCCAGCACCTGGAGCAGGTTTCCTGCCCGGCGCACCTCGATGGTACTGGATGACCGGTCCTTCATGGCCACCGATGAGATCTGCGTGGCTTTGGCCAAAGTACCTTATGGGAAGAAACCCACACATCAGAGACGCGTTTTACCCTCTGAATCAGACGTGTTTTTGTTGGTGCAACAACGCAAATTAAAGTAACCCAGATGTTTGACCGTATAA